ATCATGAATAAAAGTATTAGAATAACAGTAAGATATACATTTCTCACAATACAGTTCTTGCAGCTATAATATGGTATGAATGAAGCAATGCTTTCTTTATTGCTACTAGGCAGGAGGACACAGAAAATTCTCATTTCTTGCGAAAAATTGTGTAGTGATGGCAGAAATCCAAGCAGCTTACACTTATCTTCATTACACATTATCTTTGAATTTTTTAACTCAAAAGGAGCTATTACCATCGAAATAGGATTTTGTGTCAGTTCATTATAAACATCACATGACATTTCAAATTTCTGCCGCCAAATATTATTGTGCTGTATTATTTTTAAAGTAATTAAATAATGAAGAATCTGCATGTATGTATGTTCCTCGCAATGAGAAAAATGGTGGTACCTAGAGCCATCAAATTTTGAATAACATAGTCCCCCACCCAAAAAATGTGCACCAGGAAGCATAAATTTTGAATTTTATAATAGGCGTAAGCCATTACTAAGGATCTTAGTCATTTCACTATAAACAGCACATGATTTTTCAAATTTCTGCTACCAAATATTATTGCCCTGTATTATTTTTAAAGTAGTTTAATGAAGAATCTGCATGTATGTATGTTCCTCACAATGTGAAAAAAATGATTCCTAGAGCCATCAAATTTTGAATAACATAGTCCTCCACCCAAAAATGTGCACCAAGAAGCCTAAATTTTATACTTTGTAATTTGTGAAACTTTAATTTTTGATTAACAAACTCAATGCTTTGAAATCGAGCAGTGGCAACACTGTACGTAAAACAACTTTATCTCTAGCATGCAAGACTGTATCTCGAAAATTTTAAAATATATGCTGTTTTTAAATATTTTACGATTTTGCTTTAGAATTTAATTTTATTTGATGTAAGTATGAAAAACATATTTAATTTAATAAATATAACATGCTAAACATTAATAATAAAAAGACAAAAAAAAATTTTTTTTTTCAAGCTAGCTTGCTAAGAAAACTGATGATCTGAAAATGATGTTGAATGATACTGATATAAACTAAGAAAGACTGAAAAAATATAAAAGTGTATGCCAATACCTACATCAGGAATTCTAAACATATGCTGCTATGCATTTTGCAGTTTTTAAAAATTTTGTGATTTTGTTGTTGAACTGTATGTGACATAAGTCAAGGAAAATGATGCTTAATATTAAGATGATGCTAAAAAGGCAAAAAAGTGTGTTAGCAGCAGCAAGTGTAAGAGCAAACTGGTAGACTGTAGACTCTGTAAGAATGTAAAAAAAAAAAAAAAAAAAAAAACCCTTAACAAACCCTTTTGGGCAGCTTTTAAAATCTGAAAATTTTCAGATTTTATTTATTCCCCCCCTACTAAAGCAGGACAAGGCCATTCTTATAGCACAGTAGACTACTGTAGTTTCAAATTTCTTTGCTAACCTAACATTTGTCTGGTGATATGTTTATTTATGAATTTATTCTGTGCTCCCCTTAATAGACTGTGTTACCCAATAATATTTCACAAGAAATATCTACTCTGCATCAGCATATGCTGTGTTTAGTGTCATAGTGTTTCTCAAATATGTTTTTATTAGTTTCAGTTTCAAAAATGATCTCTCACTCGTGGCTGTGGTTACAGGTAATGATATATAATTGAATAAATATGAATAAATTGCACACTTCTGAATAACTGCTTGCCATGTCATAATATTTTACGATTACCAATTTAGCCAAATCTTTAATGGATTTCTGTTCCGAAAATATTTATAAATAATAGCAGTTGTGCTTCCAATGCATTATTAAAATCTTCTCTGTATGTTTTCCATATTTTTGAAACATTATTAATAATTTTTGCATTTGTTAATAATGACAGAGCTTTGGGTTTCAGAAAAGGAAAACATCATTGCAAATTTTGTCATTCTATATTTTAACTGAGTATTTAAAATATCGACAGCAGCATAAAAAAAACTGTTTCTTTAAAAGCTATTTCAGAATTTTCAAACCTGTTATCCTCACACAACTCATCAATTTTTTTTTTTTTTTTTTTTTGTCTTTATTTTTCTTTCATTTTTCAAATTCTGTGCCCTATTTATTTGCAATAAACTCAGCTTCTTTCATAATATCTTCAAACTTGTTTTTCATATCTTGCATACTGATAGAAACGTTTTTTAGATATTGATGAGCTTTATTCAAGTCGATTGAATTTCTTTGTAATACTTGAGAGGCTGCATTAGTAAAAGATAAAAATTTTTCGATAAAATATGTTAATAAAAATTCGAAAGATTCCATTTTTTTAACCTATTCGCTATGTCTTTTTCTTGTGTTTTCTTTAATATTAATATAATCTTTGTTTCATGTGTTGTTAATATAATTTAATTTAATGCTTTCAAGACGTTAAATTTTTTTTTTTTTTTTTTTTTCCAGTGGCTAGACAAAGAGCTACAAAGAACTAAAATATAGAGGTTACAAACAATAGAACTAAGAACAAAAAGACACCTTAAAGCACCCTTGCCTAACAGTATCATGACTTTTCTGTAAGACCACAAAGACTCTTTAGTCTCACATTGGAGCAAGTGGTCTCTGTCCATTTCTTCTCTAGAATCACAAAGCGGGCAAATAGTATCGCTTGAAATGCCTATGCAGTACAAGTAGGTGGCAAGGCAATCATGCCCTGTAAGACAGACAGAAAACCACAACTGCATACCGTCTTGGACTATCAGGAATAAAAGAAGGACATTACATTTTCCAACTTTTTAAGGCTGTACGAGTGTGAAGCTCTTGTAAGATATTAGATGTAAATAATGATCCAGCCCACCTTGTAGGATATAGACTTTTGAGAGTACTATTAGAGATAATACTCCATCTTTTTAAACTTTCTCAGAAATACATGAAAACATTTGAAGAATTTCGAAATATTTACACAGCTATCTTACACCTTGCACTGCATCATTGCACATGCTCAACTCAAAATATTCTGAACTTGTTCTCACGACAGACAAGCAACAGCCTGGTCCCGGATATCACTAATAGCTTGAAAGTTTTCCTCTTACAGGGAATCAAAATGAAAGCATACAGTTTTTTTGCTTTGCTTTCAGTTGAAGTTCGGGAGTGTGCAACACTGAATTCAACTTTCATCTGCTTCCAAAGGTCCCCTACCTGCATAATATAGGTAGGGGGCCCTTAAAAACTGAAAAGAAGGTGGATTCTATTATAGAATCCGTTTTAAGTTTAAACATGTAAATGTAATTTGGCAGGACATTCAAGGGCCCATTAAACCTTTGGGCCCCTATGCGAAGGCATTCTTTGCATACCCTTATTTACGCCACTGGTCACATCAGGATCAAATGGATAAAATTATTCAGTAATTATAATTTCATTCTACAGATTCGCTACTTCGGAGAAGGGAAAGTGCAAAATAAGTTAACAATATAGAGTGGTTATGATTTTCTCAGGGAGAAATATATGTATGACTTAGTTATTTATCAAAAGTTTTCCACAAAAAGATTGTTCCATTTAGCCAGATAGTCCTGAAGCAATAGTAATTTACTGCCAATAATCTCTGTGTTCTTTTGTCTTCTTCTTCTTCTTTTTTTTCTTTTTTTAAGGAAATTCTTTTTAATATACGGAAGGAAAAATAATATAATTTGCCAGCCAGATTTATAAAATTTTAAAGAATTATCAAATTTTAGTAATATTTAGAAAATAATTGCATGCAGTTTATGTATAGAATAAATTTTTAAATATGTATGTATGCCTATATTACATTAACATATTGTAATACATAAATATAGACTTATTATATAATGTTTGTCAAAAGTATGAACTATAACTTCAAAAGTCTAGACTTAATATTAAATATCTCTCAGGTACTTTTTTTATACAGCTGATGTAATATAAGATAAGCTTTGGATGTGAAGCCTTCGTTACACACTTCACAAACATGAGACTTTTCTTCACACTGAACATGACTATGGGCTATAAGATGATATTTCAACCTGAATTGCTTATTACATTCCAAACATGAATATGGTTTTTCACCCGTATGAATGAGACGATGTCTAGCAAGGTCATGCTTTAATTTGAAACCCCTATTGTATATTTCAGATGCATGAGGTCTTTCACCAGTACGAGTCAAGCGATGCACATCAAGATAGCTTTTTATACTAAACTCCTTATTACAAAATTCACACACATAAGGTTTTTCACCAGTGTGTATACGATGATGCATTTTAAGGTAATATTTTGCCTTAAAAGCTTTGTTACAAATATCATATACATATGGCTTTTCTCCACTGTGAGAGGATTCATGAACTTTAAAGTGGCTCTTCGTCTCAAAACTTTTGTTACATAGCTTACATACAAAATGTTTTCCACCTCCATGAACTACACAGTGGGTCCGAAAAAAATTTTCGTTTTGAAAGACATATCTTTAATACGAGAATGCTTAAAAAGATAAGATGGTGGTGATCTGATGGTGATAACTCAGCAGAAAAATTTCTATCTTATTTTTCACAAAATTTTTTTTTTTTTAGTTTTATTTTTCGGTGAATAGTTTCCTACAATACTCTTTTCATAAAGATTTACGCCCTCCATATCACATACGGTTTCTCTATTAACAGTATTACAGTTTTCAGTTTTATGAGCGTCTAATAAAGATTTAAAACTAAGTGTACTGTCACTAATAGGGCATTTGTGATTTATTGATATGTTTTGTTTTCGATCCGTATCGTTCACAAACCAGAAGTTACAGAATTAAATGTAAACAAACTGCTGTAGTGCACCTTTTAATGGGTCTTTTAACCTAAAGGACGGATTGAATTGAAACGAAATAATATAAAATAAGAATAAAATAACTGCGAAAAGAACTTTTTTTGTATTTAACTGAAATTGTTATAAAGCAGAAAAATGTACGAAAAAGGGAAATGAATATGAAAATCTTTCCTTATTCTATCTATTGTAGCATTCTCTTTTCGGTTAAGGTGTGTCAGACACACGTCCAATAGCAATTGAGATCCATTTGCGGCCCAGTCGCATCTTACTAACTCGTGATGTTTATAAAGCGAGTTGGGAAGCGTGTGTTATATTATTTGTGGACTTGGGAAAATAAAATTATTGCGGGAAAATATGCCGAAATTAAATTTTAATTGTTTGCTGAAAGAAATTATGTGGATTTACGCATTGAGCTTTTATGCTTAGCAAAATTTTGCTGGAGAGCGCTGAAACAAATTCCAGAATGTAGTCATATTTTGAAATTGCTGTTATACTGACAGAGCATAGAACTGTTTAAACCTAAATATGCTCATGTTACATAAACTCTGATGTCATAGAATAAAATATGACATTCTAAAATAGCTGAATATTGAAACAAAATTTGGAGGATGGCACTTGTATGTAATATTTCAGTAATTTTAAAATTAAAAAAAAATAATGAGAATATTCTTAAAATTAAACCAAATATCACCGTTGTTTCTTTAAAATCTTGATTTTGGATTTCAGTAAAACAATTTGTTTTTCCCGGGATAAAATATTGTATTCTAAATCATATTTCAAATTAGAGAATATCCTTCTATTGATATTTTGTTAAATATGTTATAAAATTTATAACTTATTTAACTTAGCGTTTTCGTCCCTTCATTTTTTTTAGGTGATAACTTATCAGGGAGTTTGATGCTTACTTTTCTTTATCTGTGCCAGTTAAATTCCTATAAATATTTGAATGTTTTATTTAATTGAAGCAGCATTTATGTTTATAAAGCTAACAATAATATTATGTATACACCTGGATAATTTCTCAGATAATGACAAGTTAATAATAAAAGTGTAAATGATATGTTAACTGAATAAAAAAGTTTAGCATGGTTTTTTTAGACTATAGAATTTCAGTTTTATTTTGTGAGTAAACTGAATTAGATTTAAAAAAGTTACTTATGAGATAGTAAATTATTATTTAATCTTTTTCTCACGAAACTAATGCTGCATTTTATTGGTATCAAATTAAAGTCTTTCTTTCAGTAGCTGCCAACTCTCTCAGTTTCATGGGAAAACTCCTGTTTTTTAAGTATGTTTCCCAGTCTCCCATTGAGTCACTTGAATCATACATTATAAAGGAATTTAAGTATGTTTGAAATCCCTTTGAAATTGCATCATCACGAGCATGTGGGTTTTGCGTAAAAATTCAACTGGTTTTTTCAGATTTTTAGGTTAGCAGGTGTGTTTTTATAATGCATTTACTTTACATATTTATGAAAGTAAATTTGTGTATGTATCCCTATTAGACTGCTTACCTCCTATTTTAATTTAATTATTATTTCTTGTTTATTTTATTATTTTCCCAGCATATTTTATGACTTTAATAATTTGTAACCTTAATTTTTAAATTTCTAAACTTTTGTTTATATATATACACACACTAATGTAATGAATAAAATTTTTATATATTTTTTTGAACAGCTAGATCTTGATGCTTCAGAGTAAAAAGCCAAGAAATCAAGATGAAATATATATTCAGATTTACTAATTAAAGATTCGTTCTGTTAATCACATAACATGTTTAATTAATGCTTTATGTTTCTAAAAATTTTGTTATAAAAAAGGAGTTTTGCACTTGAAAGAAAATTATATATTTTATCTCTGTGTAATTAGATATGCCATTAAACTTTTTTTTATATTTATTCAGGTTTCAGTTTCATCTTTGACCTGAAAAGCAAATATACTTTTATTGCATTTCATTTTTATATTTTAATTTTTAGAATTCTTTTTTGGCTAATGTGTTTAATTTTGCGTAATTTAAATTTCTTAATTATTCTGAATTTTGAAATGTATTATATTTAATTTTAATTTATTTTTAATTAGTCATTATCAATAAATAGCAAACATTGTATCTTGTTTTGAACAAAATATGAATGTAATTTGAAAATAAGAATTAAAATATTTCAGTCTTAAAAAATCTATCATAAATTTTGGAGCAATCATTGCTGTAATGCGTCATGTACTATTTACTTAGATTGAAATAAGAAAGAAACTTTCTAGAATTATTATTATTATTTTTTAATGTTTTGGTACTTTCTGATTATCCATACACCTATGCATGCTGTTCTGTTTATGAATAATAATAAAAAAGAGAATTTTATAGGAATAAATTTTATTAGAAAAAATAAGTGTACAGTCAGTTAGTCCCTTTAAAAGTGCTTTGTTAGCATATGACAATTAAAATACAATCATGTCCAAATTTATCTTTACATAGCCAAAAATAATGATATTCCATGAAATATCCAATCGATATTTTTTGAAGAGAATGTGTGAAAAGCAAGCTTAAGTAGTACTGTCTAATCAAAAATGATCAAATAGTTTCTGATATGCAAATCAAGGCATTACATCATCTGATGGTGAATCAAATGCTTTGCTCAGAGTGAATTTCTGTAATATAGCATTTAATTTCAGCATATAAGGACTCAAAATGGTTTATTATGACTCCAAAATATCATTTGGAGGAATCTGTGAAGTGGTGAATCACCAGTTGTTTAGAAGCAGGTCAGATAATCATGGAAGAAGCGAGATGTATGAATATTTCAAGACAAACAATCTTGGTAAAAATATATTTCAAGGTCCTCCATGGCAAAAGTTGGTGATTTTTGGTGATTGGCCAGCAAGGGACAATTTCAAGATGGCTGCTACACAAAATCAAAATAATAAGTCGAAAAATTGCACAAACTCGGTGTCCATGTACACATCGATCTATTTTTCTAAAAAAAAAATTGGAGAATTGCACAAACTTGGCATTGCGCACTCTCTTGGCTTTATCCATGCACACATTGATCTATTTTCACTTAAAAAAATCAGGAGAATGATGGTGTCATATAATGTTAAAACAAAGTCCTCACCAAAATTGAACAAAATTTGTAGCCAATCGAAGCTCAATAAACTGCATTTCAAATCACTCGATGAACTAACATAAAAAAGGAAATGCATGTTATCGTACATACGCACTACAAAAAGGAAATATTGACTTGCCATATTAGAAATTTCTGCGTCTTCAGTCTGTAGAACGCAAAATTCCGTAACATCATCCAAAAACTTTCTGAACTAGAATATGCATGCTGCTGTCACCACATAAATTCACAAAAATAAAAGTAAGAAATATCCTCCGTAGTGCCGGACTGTCATTGGCATTTCTCACATGAACTTTTCTTGCGACCAACACAGCTGATCAATCTTTACATTCGCATACACATTTCCTTCATATAAACAGAACACTTATAATGACTACTAAGTATACCTTCATTTACAAACCAGTCAATTAATGCTTTTTTTCCCTTTCATTCCAAATCAGAAACTTCAGATTTATCACATAACATACAACCATTTTATGGTACACAGCACAAAATAAGCAACGCTCTTCCTAACAGACATCCAAAGCAGAAATAAGCCCTTACAAATATTTTCCTATCAGTCAAATTCACTGCAATCACACAACCAATTACGTCATAATAGGGTTTCCATAACATGCAACTACTCAGGTTACCATAAATCGGACTACAATTTGCCAATAAATCAAACAACAACTTGGCGATCTTGGGGCACCCTAAAATATAGACTAACCACAATCTCTGTGCTATTATAACAATTTCAGAATTCTGAAGCTGTTGTAAGGAGGCCCGGACAACATCGTAAATGAATAACATATTTTTCAAGATTGTTATCTTAGAATAACAGCCTGTCATAACAGGAAGTCTTAATACTTGGCAGTTAAGTTGAAAGCTTACAGCCACATGAACTGTTGTATCATAGCAAAATATATGCATTATAAGAAGGACTTAATGAAAAATGCCTTTATGCAAGACAGCTAAAAATATGTGTTTCACGGATCACTTTAATTTGACAGTTTTTGTAATGTACATATTATATTATGGGGAGAAATAATAAATGTATGCCCTACACATTTTTAACAGTGGATCTGTGATTGGGCAGAGATATTGTGAAAGAGGTCTTAAAACCTCATGTAAGACTTCTCAGAGGTGCATATGGATCTGACTTTTTATTTATGGATGTTGATATTCATTCATCCACATTGAACAAACCTTGTTGAAAAAGTTCTTGAAAGTGAAAACATTGAATGAATATCATGGCCAGCAAAATCTTCTGATCTTAACCTAATAGAAAACGTATGGGACTACTTTGAAAAACAGTTACATAGAGACATCCTCCTTCTAGAGATGTAAATATCCTAAAGACTGCATTGCTGGAAGAGCAGAATTTAATCTTCCACACTGTGGTTAACAGTGTTAATGACAGCATGAAAAAATGTTGTGGTATCTGTGTAAAAAGTCGGGGACATCACATTTCATATTAAATTCATAAGCCTAATTTGTTTTCCTGAAGTCTCCTTATAACATATTGTTATTATTTCAGGTTATAGTTTTATATCATATGCTGTGCTCTAAATTTTTTCTCTGTGTATTTATATGTTGTGATGTTATGTATTATTCTACACATATTTGTAAAATTATAATGTACAGTTTCTGAGAAATCTGTGATTTCATAGTTGAAAAGATAATTTTGAACATGAATGTATGAAGTGTATAAATTCTTGTGTACTCATAAATACAGTACTTCTTCAGAATGTTAAGACCAGAATGTACCAAAATGTTGTAATTACACTATTTTATGCATATTTAAGTTAGGTATTTATCAAGCAAAGTAGTGTATACAGGAATCTGAAGTTATATGATGATTTGTTTCTAGACTGATGACTTTAGTTGACAGGGCTTAATTTCTAAAATTAGAAGTACCGGAGCCCTATGGAAGAATGTCAGAAAAGGAGAGCAAAAATAAATACATAAATAAATAAAATGACAAGTATAATAATTAAACAATTAATTATTAAAATTTAATAATTAATGATAAGAATAATTAAACAATGTTAAAATTTAATGAAATGTAAAGAGATAACATATAAGTTATTAAATAAATGGTAAATAATAAAATAAGGTACTGGGTCTTGATTTATTTGGGGTTTCAGCAAGAATTACAATTTCGCACAAAAATTAAGAAATAGCTCGATCGATCTACAGTTTATTTTTAAGCTCTGAATGTAATGTACTAATTCAAGGGATGATAGATATAAAGATCATTCTTTTTACTGCACACCCATGAAAAATTTTAGTATGGTTAAGCCATCACTAATGAAGATACAGAGAATATTATAAACAGTAAGAGAATAGAAAGAAAATTTTAACAGATGACCCATAGTTATGAAAACAAAAAGAGAAGAATCCAACATTTTCTGACCACAATCTCTGTATAATTCTAGCTGTCAAACTGAATATGACGGGGGAGCAAATTTTCACCGAATCCAAGAATTGGCTGAAAAAAGAGTATCAAGTGACAG